GCCAGTTGACTACGGCTGATCTCACTGTATGATCCTGAGGTCGGTGTCACTTAGCTTGATCTCCCTGTCGTTCTTGATATCAGTGACGGTGCGCCAAGCATCGGGATCCTCAGCCTAACAAGCGACAGCTATGTTAGCACGATGAATCTGACCTCCTCCATACAATGCCTGGGCCCTTACTACCGCTCTCAAGAGAGTATCTATCTCGGAAGTCTTCACAGTGCGTGCAATCTTTTTTCCAGAGATATCATAACCAATATGATCATGGTTGTCGAGATACCACTTCAGCGGTACTTTGCCTATACGGTTCCGAGTATACCTGAGATGATGCAGCTCTTCAATATCCTCCACTTTTGGCCCCTTACTCATCATCAGAGTCGTCCGAATCGTAATCGTCCTCAGTCTCGGAAGATTCCTCCCCTCTGAAAATGACAAGAACAAATAAGCAATCTCTCTACCAGTTAGAGTAATTCGATTCGGGGAGATTCGTCAGCTTTTGAGTCCTCCCCACAGCCTTGATATTACTCCTCATCACCACTGGCATGTGTACTTGCATTTTCAACAATATCGTCTCCAATTTCGAAACCGGGAGTATCCTCAGAGTCTTCCAACTCTTGCAGGGCCGCATCCTCCTCACGAACGGGTTTGGGAGCCTCGGAAGCTTCAGGCAGCACTTGGCGAGTCTCCTTTGTAGAAGGCATGGTGTGGACCACACTGAAAAAGCACTGACTTGTGACTTGTTGCCTACTCAAGACGATAACGATTATATCAAAATGCGTGAAAAATTCCAGTACCGGAATTATTTGCATAAACGGCGAGGCCACCTGCTAGTACAGCACCCTATATACTGGCATGGACCAGGAACCACACTTAAGCCCCCCCCCGCCACTTGGCGACAACGCTGTTGTATCCTTTGGCGCCCCTATTGGTGGCTTGGATGTCGTACATCGAGTTATCAAAATACGCGAGGATGACACTCTGGTAGTATTGGAGGGTTTCTGTTTTTTTTTACAAAAAATGGTTCAATGCTGACACGGCGCGTTTGAAATCGTCCTTCCGATTGCGTTCAGTCGGGAAACACTCAGGCGGTAAGGAATTCCACAGATCGAGCGCCCTAATCCACCGACGATAGATGGTTAGATCGCTATTCTTCTTCGAAACTACCAACTGATACCCGTGTTTTTTGCTCTTCAGCCGAGTGGAGCTACGAGTAACGCAGGAATGATTGTCTACTAGTATAAAACGCGACACTAGAGATGGAGGGCCATCTCTGAGGACTACTACTTTATAGAGCCAGGACATCATCCCCACAATCGGCGCCACGCCAGGTTAGGTAGCGTACATCCAGTAAGCTCGATGAAACGGTCTTGACAAGCGTCAAGCCTCTTCAGTTGGGCATCTGGGGCATGGGGGTCATCACCCCCAGCCTATTTGTGATCATCATAATACTGCGTAGGTATCGATAGGTGGAGTAACTATTCACTCCCTCGTATGTCTAAGCTCGGACATCAGCAGTTCCAATTCCTCCTCTGGCCGATCCTCCTCAGCT